TGGGTTTCGTCAAAGTGTAGCCCACAAAGGACTGATGCACACCTACTCACACACACGCACGTACGCAGTTACAAATGACCTTTTCGGCGGTATTAGAAAACGGAGCTAGGCGGGCTGATAGCCGGAGGCAGCTGGTGACGCTTGCAACCTTTTGTACGACTGTGACTAAAGGCATATTTTAGGTCCATACAGTTTTTGGTGTAAGCCAGATCCCGAGTCAAGCCTCACGCTGCTAAACTTGCTGCTGTTCCGGCTGTCCATGTTGGCTTTATACTGAGCCCAAAAGTGGTGTTTGTAATGGTCCTTGAAGGCTGATTTTATATCGCTCCGGTTGTCACACCGTATATCTGGTTGCAGCGGTCTATATTGAAATGACAATATCGGGAAGCCCCGTAATCCAAACTCTATCCAGCGCCAGCGTCGGCAGCCGATCTGCATTGAACTGATGCTTGTCGTTAGTTAAAGGAGGGTCTTACCAGAGATTTGAACATATGACAGTCCCCTGTCAGGCATCCTTGGCCCGCAATCAAGGCCATTTTACACAGGGTTTTCCACATTCGTGCTCTTTCAACTCACTCGTTACGAGTACGCACATGTACTAACGCCTGCATATTGTTTTCCAAATTTAATTTCACAGTCGACTGTCTACAACAGTTACGAAATCTGAATCGCCAGCTCAAGGCCAGTCTTATGCGTGGTCATGATGATCACGCCAATGCCCTGGCTATCTTCGACCAGATTTGTGCTGTGCCCGCCACCTTGGTCCAGCTTACACAGGCCTCGGATCTCACAGACTGTGTTAAAAAGGTTCTTTTTTTCACCCCCCCTTCCCCCCTTTGTTTTTCCCATCTCCTTTGGGCGATCACTTTTGACCGTTTTACATTTTGTTTTGTTGCCCTCGGGGGTCGAGAGGCGGTGTGACGCCGAGGAATGAGTCGTACACCATTCCGCGTTGACTAACGTCGCTAATTCGGTCTGCTACTCACTTGAATTGCATGGGCCTCTTTGTTAAACTGACTGCGCGCTATCCGGTTTATGAACCGGCCAAGGTTATATGCGAAATGAGCAGGTTCTTGAGTCTGACGAATAAACTGCGGGTAGCAGCAGTAACTTCAGGTGTGAATGTTCACCACACTGTCAAATCCGCTTCTCATCAAAAGGGTGAGGGTTCCTTATAAACAACACCGTAGTTTACTATGGCATAACTAAGTACTTATTTCGTTTCATTTAGTTTTTAGTTAGTTTAGTATAGTTCAGTTTAGTTAATTTAGTTTAGATTTAGTAAGCTACAGTGTTCCTTATAAGGAACCCCTGCTATTGCTTTTGCTGTTAACACTCTAACCCCATGACGCCGTCCCAACATCACTATTCTAAGGAATTTTGAAGATCTATGCAGCAAAGCAGAGATGGTAGAAAACCAGCAACGAACGGAGGATGCGCTCAACTCCCTACCGAAAACATCCCTGACTATTTATACCGAGGGGTCGGCGATAGATGGATGCAGACAGGGAGGTGCGGGAGTCGTGGTGACGA